TGATTGCTAATTCAATCTCTTTAGTTTCAGAAGTCTATTCAGCTGTCAGTTTTGATGTCTTGTTTTTTTTTCCCTCAGTATTTAAAGCATTGCAAACTTCTAGTTTATAATGGTTCTGATAAGAAGTTGAATGTCATCGTTACATTTAGTCCTCTGTATGTAATGTGCTTTTTCTCCTTTTATTCCTCTTAGGATTTTCTGTTCTTCAATGGTTATGATCAATTTGAGTATGATGTTCCTTGGTGTAGTTTTCTTCATGTTTCTTGTCCTTAGTGTACACTATGTTTCTGGGATATTTGGAGTTTATGACTTTCATTGACTATCAACGATAGACTGGATAAAGAAAATATGGTACATATAGACCATGGAATCCTAAGCAGCCATAAAAATGAATGAGATCATGTCTTGGTTGAAGTTAGAAGCCATTATCCTCAGCAAACTAAGGCAAGAACAGAAAACCGAACACCACACCTTCTCACTTACAAGTGGTAGCTGAATGATGAGAACACATGGACACATGGGGGAAACAACACACACTAGGGCCCATCAGAAGTGAGGGGTGGGAATTGGGGGCAGGGAGAGCATCAGAAAGATTAGCTAACAGATGTTGTGGTTAATAGCTAGGTGATGAGATGATCTGTGCAGCAAACCACATGGCACATGTTTACCTATGCAACAAACCTACACATCTTGCACATGTACCTGGGAACTTAAAATATGAAGGAAAAAAATAAAAAAAGATTTAAAAAATCCACTTAAACCTCCATACTTGCATCACAATTAAATCAAAATTAATTACAGAACTAAACATAAACTGCAAAACTAGAGAACTTATAATAGAAAACATAAGAGAAAATCTTCATGATGTGGAGTTAGGCTAAGTATTCTTAGTTATCACATCAACAAAACGATTAGAGAAAACATTGATCAATTCAACTTTATACAAATTAAAAATTCTTGGTCAGCACAAGACACTATAGAATTAAAAGACATGCTACAGATTGGGAGAAAAATATGAAAATCACTAATATGTCAAAGAACTTGTGTGATGGTTAATTGTGTGTGTCCCTGTGACCGAACCCCAGGGTGCCAGGACATTTGTTCCTATGTTATTCTGTGTGTGTACTGGAG